CTGCATAGAACGTTCGACACGTCTCCCCACGGCCCTCAAGCGGTGAGCTTGCCCCGCGTGACGCGGCAGCTCCGGCCTCGACGGCGACGGAGCCGGCCGCCGGCTCATCTCCCGGTTGGCGTCGGCCACGTCACCCGCCAGGAGGCCCCACACCTCCACCGCCTGGCGGTCCAGCGTCCGCCTGATGGCCTGACGCGTCGCGAGGGCGCGCAAACACAGGCGGACGCACGCGGAGAGAGAGAGAGAGACACAGGCGGACGCACACGGAGAGAGAGAGACACAGAGAGAGACACACACCCACAGGCGGACACACAGAGAGAGACACACACACACAGGCGGACACACAGAGAGAGACACACACACAGGCGGACGCACACGGAGAGAGAGAGACACACAGGCGGACGCACACGGAGAGAGACACACAGGTAGACACAGAGAGAGAGAGAGACACACAGGCGGACACACAGAGAGAGAGATACACACAGGCAGACACACAGGGAGAGACACACACACAGAGGCAGACACACAGAGAGAGACACACACGCACACACCCACAGGCAGACACACAGAGAGACACACACACAGGCAGACACACACGGAGAGAGAGACACACACAGGCAGACACACAGGGAGAGACACACACACAGAGGCAGACACAGAGAGAGACACACGCACAGGGAGACACACAGAGAGACACACACACAGGCAGACACACAGGGAGAGACACACACACACAGGCAGACACACGGAGAGAGACACACACAGGCAGACACACAGGGAGAGACACACATGGAGAGAGAGAGACACACAGAGAGAGACACACAGGCAGACACACAGAGAGACACACACAGGCAGACACACAGGGAGAGACACACATGGAGAGAGAGAGACACACAGAGAGAGACACAGGCAGACACACAGAGAGACACACACAGGCAGACACACAGGGAGAGACACACATGGAGAGAGAGAGACACACAGAGAGAGACACACAGGTAGACACAGAGAGAGAGAGAGACACACAGGCGGACACACAGAGAGAGATACACACAGGCAGACACACAGGGAGAGACACACACACAGAGGCAGACACACAGAGAGAGACACACACGCACACACCCACAGGCAGACACACAGAGAGACACACACACAGGCAGACACACACGGAGAGAGAGACACACACAGGCAGACACACAGGGAGAGACACACACACAGAGGCAGACACAGAGAGAGACACACGCACAGGCAGACACACAGGGAGAGACACACACACAGAGGCAGACACAGAGAGAGACACACGCACAGGCAGACACACAGAGAGACACACACACAGGCAGACACACAGAGAGAGACACACACGCACACACCCACAGGCAGACACACAGAGAGACACACACACAGGCAGACACACACGGAGAGAGAGACACACACAGGCAGACACACAGGGAGAGACACACACAGAGGCAGACACAGAGAGAGACACACGCACAGGCAGACACACAGAGAGACACACACACAGGCAGACACACAGGGAGAGACACACACACAGGCAGACACACGGAGAGAGACACACACAGGCAGACACACAGGGAGAGACACACATGGAGAGAGAGAGACACACAGAGAGAGACACACAGGCAGACACACAGAGAGACACACACAGGCAGACACACAGGGAGAGACACACATGGAGAGAGAGAGACACACAGAGAGAGACACAGGCAGACACACAGAGAGACACACACAGGCAGACACACAGGGAGAGACACACATGGAGAGAGAGAGACACACAGAGAGAGACACACAGGTAGACACAGAGAGAGAGAGAGACACACAGGCGGACACACAGAGAGAGATACACACAGGCAGACACACAGGGAGAGACACACACACAGAGGCAGACACACAGAGAGAGACACACACGCACACACCCACAGGCAGACACACAGAGAGACACACACACAGGCAGACACACACGGAGAGAGAGACACACACAGGGAGAGACACACACACAGAGGCAGACACAGAGAGAGACACACGCACAGGCAGACACACAGGGAGAGACACACACACAGAGGCAGACACAGAGAGAGACACACGCACAGGCAGACACACAGAGAGACACACACACAGGCAGACACACAGGGAGAGACACACACACACAGGCAGACACACGGAGAGAGACACACACAGGCAGACACACAGGGAGAGACACACATGGAGAGAGAGAGACACACAGAGAGAGACACACAGGCAGACACACAGAGAGACACACACAGGCAGACACACATGGAGAGACACACATGGAGAGAGAGAGACACACAGAGAGACACACACAGGCAGACACACACAGGCAGACACACAGAGAGAGACACAGACACGCGCACGGCGCGGTGAGAATTGTCCATGCGGCACGCTGGTCGAACCGCAGGCGGGAATCGAGATCGGCTCGGCGGGTCTCTGTGGCGCATCGATGATGATGATGACGATGATGGTGATGATGATGGTGATGATGATGATGACGACGATGATGATGATGACGACGATGATGATGATGACGATGATGATGATGACGATGATGATGATGACGATGATGATGATGATGACGACGATGATGACGATGATGATGATGATAATGACGATGATGACGACGATGATGATGATGATGACGACGATGACGACGACGATGATGATGATGACAACAATCCCCCCCCCGTCAAGTTGGATCGTTTCCGATGGCCGGGGCATGCGTCCTGACTGATGATGACTGAGAGAGAGACACGCAAACTCCAAATATACAGCAGCGGGCATCAGGGCGGGATCGAACCCACGACCTCCTGTGTACCAGGCGAGGTAATCAACATCCCATAGCCACCGTGATGATGATGATGAGAGAGAGACACGCAAACTCCAAATATACAACAACAGGAATCAGGGTCGGGATCGAAGACAAGACCTCCACCTCCTACACAGAGGGCGATCTTAACACCGCTGGTTACCGGTCATCAGCAAGTCCACTCAGCTCCACGTCCTCCTGTACCACATCACTCCATCTCTTCTCTAGCCCGTGCCTCCTGTACCACATCACTCCGTCTCTTCTATAGCCCGTGCCTCCTGTACCACATCACTCCATCTCTTCTCTAGCCCGGGCCTCCTGTACCACATCACTCCATCTCTTCTCTAGCCCGTGCCTCCTGTACCACATCACTCCATCTCTTCTCTAGCCCGTGCCTCCTGTACCACATCACTCCATCTCTTCTCTAGCCCGTGCCTCCTGTACCACATCACTCCATCTCTTCTCTAGCCCGTGCCTCCTGTACCACATCACTCCATCTCTTCTCTAGCCCGTGCCTCCTGTACCACATCACTCCGTCTCTTCTCTAGCCCGTGCCTCCTGTACCACATCACTCCATCTCTTCTCTAGCCCGTGCCTCCTGTACCACATCACTCCATCTCTTCTCTAGCCCGTGCCTCCTGTACCACATCACTCCATCTCTTCTCTAGCCCGTGCCTCCTGTACCACATCACTCCATCTCTTCTCTAGCCCGTGCCTCCTGTACCACATCACTCCATCTCTTCTCTAGCCCGTGCCTCCTGTACCACATCACTCCATCTCTTCTCTAGCCCGTGCCTCCTGTACCACATCACTCCATCTCTTCTCTAGCCCGTGCCGCGCCAGTCTAGCCCCCTCTATACCGCAGCCGCCACCAACCCACTACGCTAACAACGCCACAACTTACTAAACACGGGGTCAGAGTGTCGAACACACGCAACGTATATGTTCGTATGTATGTGTGATAAGGTGGTGGTGGTGGTGGCGATTGCTTGCGTTGCGATCGAAACGTCGTGACCTACAATTTGTTTTTATCGTACGTGACTTCACCGAAAGAATCAAAGAGGTCAACTTCACGCTTACAAATTTATGCCGAAATTAAAAAAAATCTATGCGAAAAATCAACACTTTTTTCAGCTGCTGCTGCCATTGACTCCAATTACAATCGTTTGCTACTCACACACACCTACATATTCACACACACACACACTCGCACACACGCACACACTCACACATGCACACACACACTCACACACACCCACACTCACACACACGCACACACTCACACCCACACACACTCACCCACACACTCACACACTCGCCCACACACACTCACCCACACACTGACACACACACACTCACCCACACATTCACACACACACCCACACATTCACACACACACCCACGCACACGCACCCTCTCCTCCCCTCCCCACCCAGCCCCTCCCCACCCAGCCCCTCCTCACCCTCCCCTCCCCACCCAGCCCCTCCCTCCCCACCCTCCCCTCCCCACCCAGCCCCTCCCCACCCTCCCCTCCCCACCCAGCCGCTCTCCACCCTCCCCACCCAGCCCCTCCCTCCCCTCCCCGCCCCTCCCCACCCAGCTCCTCCCCACCCTCCCCTCTCCACCCAGCCCCTCCACACCCTCCCTTCCCCTCCCCACCCAGCCCCTCCCCACCCTCCCCACCCAGCCCCTTCCTCCCCTCCCCGCCCCTCCCCACCCAGCTCCTCCCCACCCTCCCCTCTCCACCCAGCCCCTCCACACCCTCCCTTCCCCTCCCCACCCTCCCCACCCAGCCCCTTCCTCCCCACCCAGCCCCTCCCCTCCCAGCCCCTCCCCACCCTCCCCTCTCCACCCAGCCCCTCCCCACCCTCCCTTCCCCTCTCCACCCAGCCCCTCCCCACCCTCCCCTCCCCACCCAGCCCCTCCTCACCCTCCCCTCTCCACCCAGCCCCTCCACACCCTCCCCTCCCAGCCCACCCTGCCCCTCCCCACCCTCCCCTCTCCACCCAGCCCCCCCCTCCCATTTTTGAATGCACTTGGGGGGGGGGACACGGTGAACGGGTGAACGGGCGGAAAGGTAAACCCATCATGGAGCTGGTAGGCGCATCAGCCTTGACGGAGGAGGAGGAGGAATGCGATGGGAGGTCAACCCCAGCGGAGGTTTTCGTTCCGGACACGCGGACGCAGAAGGGCAAAGATCCACCCCATCCCCTGTGCCGGCCTTCATCGCGGCACCGATGAAGGCCGGCGAAGACAAAGATCCCCCGTGTAGCCTCTAATAGACTGTTGGGGCAAGTGCTGTTAGCGAGTAGCAGCGGCACTTATGAAGGTAGACACAGACAAAGATCCCCCGTGTAGCCTCTAATAGACTGTTAGGGCAAGTGCTGTTATTATCGAGTAGCAGCAGCAGCTATGAAGGTAGACACACAGACAAAGATCCCCCGTGTAGCCTCTAAGAGACTGTTGGGGCAAGTGCTGTTAGCGAGTAGCAGCGGAACTTATGAAGGTAGACACACAGACAAAGATCCCCCGTGTAGCCTCTAATAGACTGTTGGGGCAAGTGCTGTTATTATCGAGTAGCAGCAGCAGCTATGAAG